TCCGTTCTTGATTTGTAGGTGTTTTTCACCGCTGCTTCTCCGCTTTTCCAGCTCCGGTATCAGCTCTCTCATTTTCAATCGCTCTTTTTGCTCGTAATCGGGCTGAAATAACTTCGGGATGCTGGCCCCGCAGAAAAGATTTTCTCTGTAACAGGAGTTATGTCTGTGCTCAAGTCTCAGAAATCACTTTTCGGGGTCGGGGCCGGAAATTTGAAGCAGGTGCTGACTAAGTTTTCCCTATTCTGAATGCTTTGAGAGCATTTAGTGACACGCCGTCTCTTAACAGAGCTTTCGCATAAACTTGGAGAAGGTCTAAGTCGTGTTTGACTCTCTCGCTTGGAGTTGTTGTCGTTGATTCTGGGATTCCGACTACGACTACGGCGGTATTTAGCTTATAGGTAGGCCTAATCAGTGGGAAACACGGTTGAGGAGAGGAACAGGTTAATGCAGCAGAACTCAGCTTCACCACCAATGATTTTGCGCAGTTGGACGCACCTCATGGGACACTGTTGGCCTCGCCTTTTGAGAGCTCGAATTATCTAACCACGAAGGAAATTATCAGCATGCTGCATAAGTTGCGTTATTTACTTCACTTGTGCTTAAAATCGCCAAAGGTGTTTACGCAGCATACAATAAATTTTCAGTCACAATGAAAGGAAATTCCATACGAATATAGCCGGGAAAGATAAATAGACTTTGAGACATGCAGGATCACAAGCATAGATCGGTTATTTGGTCAGAAGACAAACCATACGTTGATGCCGCTTCGGAGTGTGACGACCGCTTATATCGGCACCAACAATGCTACAGTAGCGTAGACAATAACTGGCTATTCTTTGTATGCTGCCCGATTTAGTCCGAAGAGAAGAACATTCCACTTCAAGCCAGCCGCGGACGTGTCATGGGGTCCAGAGCTGGGCTACCGCTCTAGGCTGCCTTTACCTGGTTGGTCTCCTGAGGGAAGATGGCTGCTGTGAACGGTGTCGATAATAAGCTCTTGCATTTAAGGCTATACACTAAAATAACGGCGACAAATGTTGACCGTAGTTATTTCTTGCGAGAATACAATTTCGAGATTAGGGTTGTGAAGGGCCGAAAATTTAAACAAAAATATTCACTCTTCTCCCTATAAAAATGACAAAACGCTATCGAAATGTTGTTATAAATGTTAAAACTTGCGTGGGTCGGAAAAGAGCGAGCTAGAAGATGCCCCTACTCTGTCCGAATTCAGACCATCATCTACTGAGAAAAGTGGAAGAAGAGCAAAATACGTCTTGGGAATTTAATGACGACCGTGGCTAACCGTCCACGCGACCTCCTAGTCTGCAAACCGACAAGCCCAGACTGAGGTAGCACTTTAATTACACCGATCTTAGAAAGTGGCGACAGATCTCTGGGTGAGAAATACCGTGACATTGCTGATAACTTTTTTCCATCGTCTTCCATAATCTTTTCTGCTTGTTTAGCAAAACCAAGGCGAAGCTTCAGCGCTGCTTGAGTCGGGTGGTAATACGTAGGCCGGTATTCCTTGCATCAGTGAATCCACAAATATCGCCACTGGAACTTGCAGCGCACTCTCGACTGTTTCGTTTATTTTCGTCTGCGCCCAGTTACGGGCATTGGGATTTTCAGGGAGAAGGATGTTGCACGACGGTTGTGACCAAGATTGCTATGAATGGTTCAAGCCTACGATTATAAGATGATAGCCGGAGCTCAAACGGATGGTGACGAGAGTAGCTTTTTTAAGCGTTATCTAGGGCGTCCATCAGGACCATAACTCTCGTGGGCACTGAGAAATTACGCAATAGCTTGGATTTTTTTAATACAAACTGGCTGACCTCGTGGGTGTGATATGGGGTAATGAACACCAGTTACTACGCCGCTAGGGAAGTAAATAATAATAATTTTTATTCAAGACCCGTGGGAGTCTTATCTGATCCCAGTGGATCCATTTTTTTCATTACATCCGCCAGTTACGTACGCCCCATCGACTGTCATTCGTTGGCGCAGTTACGTTTAATCACTGTCGGAAGACTGTCTGGTTCAGTCGTTATCAGGACCAGCACGTGCGTAAGACGCACGAGGCTTCAACGAAGTGTCCGTTCGATCACTGCACGGAGGCTCATCTTTAATTGTCTCGAATCATCTTTGCCATTGGAGAGCTGGAGGAGTGGGAAGAGACAAGTAGAGAGGAAAAGGTCAGCGTTGCGGAGTTTTCCTACCGATAGTTCGTTCCTCGAAGCTGACAGTGATATTTGATGTTGTTCATTCGTGACTTGCATGCGAGCGAGGGCAACTTACTCAACACTGACCTGACTCTGTCTTCCCATTCCCATGTTTTGGTCGCAAGACTAGGATAAGACGACAGAAGACGGGTTTGAACGTAATGGTTTCCCTGACAGAAGCTTCTTATTGATGCAAGTCACAACATGTGTGCCCCCCACATTAGCGGACCAGACTTCATTCACCAACCATCTACCGTTATTTACTTTCGTCTGTCAGTCAAAGAACTTACCGCGTGAAGGCTGTTCAGATCAACACAACTTTGTGAAGCCAGCGGTGAAGTATGGTAAGCTTAAGATAGTAATATATAGACAAGTTAACCAAGTGACATTCTGCCGATAGCAGGCAGCCCAATCCATTCTTTATGCTGAATACTGGAGAGGGGGAGCTTCAGAAAGGGTCTGTCTGCTGTGTGGTGTGGTCAAACTAAGGCTTTTATACTGCCTTTATCCGGTAACGACTTTTTGCCTTTTGTTTTCCGTCAAACCTTATTGTGCTAATATATAAAGGCAGAAATGTTATTACCAACAAAGACAAGGGAGACTAGAGTGGCCAGTTCCGGCTTATAAGTCGTCGTCAGTCACTCATAACCAACTCCGGAGTGTGGAACACCTGGGGCTCGAACTAGCGACCTGTTAGTTGAATGTCCAACGCCTCTAACCACTGGGCAACGGACCCATTGTCCTGTCGGTTTCAATCGGGAATGTACAGTAATAGAGGGGCGCTTACTGATCGCTCTTACGGAACTCACTCGCTCCGTTTTACCATTTTTGGCTAATAAGCCAGAAGTGGCCATTTCAATCTCTCTTGTCTTTGTCTGTAATAACATTCCACCCATATCATGCGCCGCTGGGCGGCCGACTCCGCTGGCCGACAATGGTGTCCACCTTTATCTATGGATTTCCATCGTGACCTTTTTGCAGGTGATCGTTCATTAATTCCTTGTCGTCTTTCAGTTGACACTTCCGCAAAGCCAACAGTAAAATGTAGCTTTTTGACTATGCTTACATTAACAAGGAATTAGTAAACAACTTTACAAGCATTCCCGATTGGCACAGCATTTTTTCAGATAATAATCAAAAATTTTTCTACGATTTATTACAGTGCGTAGCAGCAGGCCTTCTTGATCTCAGCCCACCCAGAACGTTAAATAGAGAGCCACTTAATCCACTGTCATACAATTTCTTAAAAACAGACTTTTAAAGCTACAGAAGCAGTCTAAAGATTCTTCCGCAAGCTCATTATCAGTTCATCTAAGAAATGCTGAAATATTTGAATTAGCTTCGAAAATTTGGCTCGCGCGAGACGAGCATAGAGAGGTTTTAGGTATTAGCGGTGCGAATCCTTCTAGATCTGTTGCTCAGATCTTCCGTCAAGGATGATCAGCAAAGTCCCACCAAGTCTCTCTGCCTTCCCCTAGTTCCAACGAGACCTTCCTTACAGAGGAGTCAGGAAAAGCAGAATTATTATATCCATTCTTTGCCAAACATTTTGCCATTGAGACCGACACAATCTCTTCAATTCCTCCGTCGTCTGATGCTTCTCTCACAACCATTAATTTTGCTCTTGCAAATACTTAGTAGCTGATGGGCCAGCTTGCTAATTTGCATTCAGTAGGAGCTGGCAACATCCCGAACTCTCTTATAAAACAGTTAAGAGATTTTCCTCCTCTGCTTAGCAAACTCTTTTCAGTATTTCTCAAAAAGGATTTTTTCCTCTTTAACAGACAAGTGACTCGGAATGTTTCACAGTACAAAATTATGCCTGCGTTTTATTCTCTTCCCGGTTCAGAACTTATTATTCCAATAATTTTAAAAGCGTGCTCAATTACTTTTTCAGAAGTTTTGCTTATGTTACCATACAACGACTGACGGAGTATTTCGTCGACTAATATTCTGCTATGACTAACAGAGGCGTAGGTTTGGACGATTGAGGGGGTTATGAGGTTTTACTTGGACTAAAGGGGCTTTTGAATTAACTATATCCACAGAAGGCAACGAAAACTTGCTGGTGCCTGCTGCGTCTCCGGCCAATATTATAGCACTCAGAGACGGTAGGGAGGCCACAAGCTTCCGTCGTTCGCTTGTTCATGTATGTCTGTTTGCGTTTGTCCTTGTTGAACTCTAAACGCCGTTCTGTTCAATTTACCTGCTCACCTATCATATTTCAGCAGCCAGTTAGCTTAGAGAGGGAGGGAAAAGCTCTGCATCTCGTCTTTCTACCCTCCCCAACTCTTACCTTCTTAAAGCTTACAACGATGTCGCAGGCAGTCCCGAACTAACTCGGGTCGCCTTCCCGCTAGACAAAGTTCATGACCCATAGTGGAGTTTGGCAGTCTCCTAGGACAACTGAGCAGCCCTATTTAGGGAGAGCACTGCTCACCCCGCGAGGGGAAAGAGGCTAGAAAAGATGCTCTAAACAAATGCTGAGGAACCACTCCATCTGCAGGCTGATCGTGGCCTCAAACACAAAACTCACGGTCGAAACAATCAAACCAGAAACAACACACTCTCTATTTCCCCTCTCCACCGACGTCCTGCTAGCCAGACTGGTAGCGCGGGTCCGCTTACTCTGGCAGCCCAGAATGTTCGTTCTCTGTTAGACAATATGAGGAACAATCGACCGGAACGGAGGACGGTGCTAGTGGCTCGGGAACTGGTACGCTACAAAGTGGACATCGCTAACTTCAGTGGGCCTAGGTCTGCGAACAAGGCCAAATGGAGGAGGTGGGTGCCGGTTACACCTTCTACTGGAGCGGTCGTCCGAAGGCAGAGCGACACGACTCGGGTCTCGCCTTCGACATCCGGGACGACGTCGTGGGACAAGTATCCTGTCTACTGCAGTGCATGAATAATCGCCCCATGAGCCCCTGCCTGCCTGTCCAGGGAGGCAAATTCGTAACCACCGTCACTGTCTACGCTCCCGCGATGACCACTCCCTACGAGGCAAGGAAGAAATTGTACGCGAATCTGAACGCCCTCCTGGCGACTGTGTCGAAGGTGAATAAGTTGATTGTCCTTGGTGACTTCAACGGCCGCGTCGGCTCAGACCATACTGCCTGGAGAGGAGTGCTAGTTCCCCATGTTCTCGATGGCTTTATCGATAATGGCTTGCTCCTCCTGCGCAGAACACCGGCCCCACCCGATCAGCACCTACTTCCGTCCTCCTTTGCGAGAGGAGGCCACCTGGGTGCACCCTCCGCCACAACGCTGGCACCTGCTGGACTATGCCATCGTCCGGAGGAGAGACCAGTGGGACGTGCGGGTGACAAAGACGATTCCCTCTACTGTCGGGTTGATCGACAAACACCTCGTCATCTCCTACACGCGGATCCATCTACAGCATCGCAGGAGACCTCAAGGTAAGCGACAACTTGATAAACCGAATACTGCTATGTTCTCTTTGCCTGTTAATAATCTCCATTTCAGAAATGAGCCAGCCCAGATGCTAGCCAACCGTACAGTCGCCGTCGCTGCCACCGACAAGAACGCCTCCGTGGAGAACCGATGGTGTAAACTGCAAGACACAGACGAGTTGGGGACCCTGACTGTCCTCGGTCACGCACAACGCAAATAGCAGGACTGGTTCGATGGCAACAATGCCGCCATCGGCGACCTGCTAGCAGAGGAGAACAGACTGTACAATGCCTATTTCGATCGTCCGACCGATGACAAAAAGGCAGCCATCTGCCGTAGTCGCCGCCCTGTGCAACAGCGGTTGCTGGAGATGCAGAACGCTTGGACGGCTCGCTAGGCCGAGGAGGTCCAACGGTACGCGGGCCGCAACGATTAGGAAAACCTCTCCGCGAATAAGCTGTCTACGGTCCGCCAACCAAAGCAGATACTCTTCTTCTCAGGGGCGTCCTCAACCGCCCCTCCACCATCTCCGACGCCGCCATCACTCGTGTGCCTCAAGTGGAGGCCAACGTCGATCTCGACCTCTCGCCCTCTCTCCACGAAACCATCAGCGCCGTGCAGCAGCTCTCCAGCGGGAAACCGCCCGGATAGGAAGCGATCCCTGCTGAGATCTACAAGTACGGTGCCCCCCAAATCATGTATCATCTGACAGCGCCCTTCCAGAAGATGTGGCGTGATCTTATCTTTCATTAACGATATCTCGTCGACATATAAGCATTATCAATCATTCGTCCATGATGATGACCGAAGTGCGAATATGCATTCGCCAAATCTACGATCCAAGATTGCCTGGGGCCAGTTCATGCTGGCTTGCTTGCCCTTTGAATGAGAATGACTAGTGGAATTCTCTCTATCTTAATTTTGCTGTATGTGCTTTGGGGCTGAAGGGTTACCCCAGCCAGTGGTTTTTCAAGGAACACTAACGACTAAATGTACCTTCGAAAAACACTCAGGTTTCAAATGCGCCAATAACCTAGGTCTCTCGCAGCATGCCAACGGAATTACAGCCATGGCTGCCTAGATTTGTCGCCTTGGTCCTTATAATTTTTACCTTCCTGAAATTAAATCAGAACTTTATCCATATTTGTCCTACTCATTCTCAAACAATATTGCCCATTCTTCGATCTGTTGCACGAGGTCAGTCGTTCTCAAACTGGAAATGGTTAAAGGCATTCTATCAAGGGACTCTCTAGTGCGGACCATCAGAATGCTTTCTAATCAAATAGATGTCAGCTTACCGACCTAAAGTTCCTATAAATCGGCCGTTGTCTCAATATTCGCATTTACAAATAAACAAACAAATAGATAAAATAATTTTATTAAGGACTCATCGGGGTCCCTTCGTAGCAAGTAAAAATATATTTCCACGTGAATTTTAGATGAGGTAGGCAGAATCTGTAAAATATGCAATCCGTAGTTAATGAATTAGTAGTGCGTTAAGAAAGATGGTGAGCGAGAAGGGACACGAACTCCATTGTAGAATAAAAGAAATGGTTGATAAACTTTAAAGGAGAAAAGACTCTCGCTCGTGAAAGGATAAAAATGCGGGCAGGACTGGCCTGCATGCGGCAGTGTATTACGGATTATAAACGGACATCCTCAGGCAGAAATAAACGTCAGCCTTGAGGGATAAGTACGCGGGTCAGACAGGACTGGCCTGCCTGTGGTATTGTAAAAGGGGTTCAAAACGGACGTCGACGAGGCACAACTCATACGCCGGATGAGCCCATTCACCTTAAAGTGGCGAGACGATAGGAACCCAGATGCGATCGATCACGGTCCGCCTCGAGTTCAGCCGAGGAGTGGGGAAGGGAGGTACGACCAAACTACAAGTAAACGGCGAATACAGAGGATTCCGCCGTGAGCGTCCACAGAACGCTTGAGATCTAAATGAGGAGATGACGTCAAGAACCGCGAAAATCGTCGTTATGCGGAAGAAGTGATACCTCAGACCTTCCTCACCTGCCAGCCCGACCCCTGTCAGTCGCCCATACAATTTTCGTCGTTTTTCTTGATTATACGTCCTTCTGCTCCTCTCACTGCTAAACGCTCTCTCTTATTCGCTGCCAGGCATACCTTCCTTTGGGATTATCTGCTAAGCCACATTAGATCGTCAGATAATCTGTATAATTTTAAGTAAATACTGCGCCTTTATATGAAAAATGACTTGTTTAAGCTTCTATTTTCCCCATTCTTCATGACTTCCATAAAAAGCTCTCGGGAATTTAGGAGGCCGCTACCAAATTGCCGCATACGCCCACATTGGTCTCTCTGTGTGTGGTTTTGCTTTTCGCCATACATCAGCTGATGAAGCGTTTCCTTCTCGAAAGACGATAATCTCCCTAGCCAACCTCTCGTAGAAGAATTCGGTGATATGTTGAAGCGTATGCTCCAAGTCGCCTCCGGTTAGCTTACCACCGACCCTCATCATAATTCCTTCTTGACCTCTGAGAGGTAAATCTCCTACCTTGTTGTCAACTCCGCCCTGCGCTTGCCGCCATCTAACGTACCAGGCTTTTATCCTACACTCATGAAAAACCTCCCCTGCCCCTCTACCTGCTTTCGCGTGGTGGCTTTTTTCTCCCGAATATATTTTTGCGAGTAACGGCTCCCTCAGGAGTCCTCTTCCACTTCTTCGATGGAAGGTCGCTATTTTTCCGAAAGCTTCCAAATTTGAAGTTATGAATCTACATTTCCAATTGCCGGCGGACGTGAATACTTCGCCAACTTTGCATGACACAAGTTCCAAATAATTATATGCATCTGGCTTCCCACGCACATCGTAAGTGTCTGCACTGTCTGTATTCTACCGTTTGACTCCGTGTTAACATAATTCTGACAGTACCCTCTGGAAAATTGAAAATAAACCTTTTACTATCAATGTCGCCCAATTTGGTGACTCACGAAATGCTAGCTAAGCAAAGATTCACGCGAAAGAAGGTTGTTCAGTTTTGTCTGCGTTTCCTTTCTGTGGCAATCTGTGAGTTCGTCCCAGCCTCTGCGTCTCCGTCATATCCCAGTTCGAGGCTCGGGTGTTCCACACTTCGGACTTGTGTATGGCTGGCCGACGACGGTTAATAAGACAGAAATGGCCATTCCAGTCTCCCTTGTCTTTGTCGGTAATACTATTCTGCCTATATATCCCAGTACGTTCACGAGTACAGAACAAAATAAGACGAAAACATAGTCCTGTAGCTTATTAAAACAAATAAGGTCCAGTTTGTCTCCCACAAGTTATGTTACTTTTTACTTT